ACACTTCATCTAAAACTAATGATGTAATGTATGGGGATTAACATAAGAATAAAAAAAAATGTTTGAAAAAATAAAAAATTAAAAAAAAAAGTGAGGTAATGACTATTAAAAATCCTTGATAAACTGTAACGTGCTGGGCAAAGTTAAGCAAGTGTGCTCTGCAGCATTATGTTGTAGACTTAGCAAATCTTGTCCTAAGTTGACAATATTATATGATCCAAGGTTGAAAAGCATTTTGAATTTGTGTGATGTTTTAGATCAAATGGAGGGATATATATTTACTGCATTATGTGATCAAAGTCTGTGAGGAAACCATATTTTTTTTTTTTAAAGATTTTATTTATTTATTTGACAGAGAGAGAGAGAATGAGCACAAGCAGGGGGAGTGGCAGGCAGAGGCAGAGAGAGAAGCAGGCTCCCCACAGAGAAGGGGGAGCCCGATGTGGGGCTCGATCCCAGGACTCCGGGATCATGACCTGAGCCGAAGGCAGTCGCTTAACCAACTGAGCCACCCAGGCGCCCGAAACCATATTTTTTTAATCAACCTTGTGTTGTAGACATCTAAGGAAAATTTATAACCCAGAACAATCTGTTACCTTGGGTCAATGATGTCATAATTGGAACAAGTCTAAATCAGATAGAAATAGATCCTAAAGATGCAGGGTTCGCCAAAAGAGAGATCTCTGCTCCTGACACAAGGCATGTATGTTGAGTGTATGTTTTAGTCTAGAAGACTTCTCTTATGTTAGTACAACAACTTAAAAAGAATTACATTGCAACCAACACGTGTGTTGTTTTCTTTTTTTTTTTTTCTTGCAGGTCAGTTAATAGAAATGTTTAAAAATGTTGAAGAGCTGAAGGAAGAACTGAGGAGAACGACGGGCATGTCCAATAGGAGTATTGACAGTCTGCTGGCCCTTCCTATCCCTGATAACAGAGCTGAGGTGGGGCATAATATAGTTGTACTTATAGCCAGATCTTAAAAGTTTAAATCATGTGTAGTATTTGTTGAGCACTTATCAGTAAAACACTGAGAAGTTGCTTGCAGATCTGGTGAATTTTCCATGCAAATGATAAAATTAGAGGCTGAATTCCTTGTGGGGTTAGAAGAAAAATCCTAAAGCAAGACGTTTATTACTATCTTTTCCTTTCCTTCTAGTTTTCCTTCTCCTTCATCTTCCCTCCTTTGTGCTCTCCTTTTCCTTACCCCTAGATGGTTTTTTTAAATAAGTGGTGCCTTCAATAATTCCATATATGCACAATCACAATCACATTTTCTGAGATAAATTTGCACAGTCTATTATAATGACATCAAAGTCAGATTTCAGTAATCTAATTGGGGAAAAAAAAACAGACCATTTACAATTTGTTGAAATGAATACTCAGTTTGGCTTTTTAAAAGTCCCAAGACAAAACATAGGATATAAAATAGATAGGATCCAGGGAACTCTGGGCAAGTTTGTGGGTATAGTGAACATGTTTGGGTATGACAATGAATAACGTCATTTCCTCATAGGCTGATAATAGGGCTTTCCATTTGAAATGTCTCTTCTTTTATCCCTTTTCCAAGTCCATTGTCTGGAAATGTCATAGAAATTTTCCAAAAGAACTGCAGAGCTTAAAGCCTCATCTGTTCAAAACTTACATGTGACAGAGTGTGTCATTTCTAAGCACAGCCCAGCTATTCTCCAATATCGGATAAAGTTTTTTGAAAGCCTTGAAGACTGCCTTAGGGAAATATTTAGGTTTACTTGTGTCCTGTTCATTGGTTCCCTCATACAAAAATTAAAACTGCTTTGCCTTCCCTCTTGTTCTAGCGAATAGTCATTGACCTTTTCCCTTTGATCTCACCTTTTACTCATTTTATCCTAAGATCTAATTTCAGTAATCAAGTGTTTGGCTTCTGAAGAGCAGGTTCATTTTAGTAAATAAAAACATAAATGTACATTCTTAACTACTTTCAAAAGGAAAGAGAGAAGATTTTCAACAGTCTTGAATTTCCTAAACTTTTCTCTTGATTTCAACTCAATGGCAATAGAGACTTCTTACTTCTCATATACACACCTCACTTTTCACACAGCATCACTGTCCAGGATGGTTGATTCACATTATTATGTAATTCTGGGCTTTTTGTTCTTTGCCCTTTATCTCTTGATAGAGATACCCAGAGGTTCTTATATAAGATTGTAACTTCAAATTATTTTAAAAACAAAATGCAATTTAAATACACTAAATAAAATTTTAAAGGAAAAATGAGTCTTAAACGAATATTTTTCCCAAACTTAAGTCCTGATCAATTCTTTCTTGGTAGATCACTCACTCAGTTGTTCAAACAGGAAATCTCAGAATCATCACGACACTTCTTTGTCTCTTTTTCTCCATCTTGTTTTTTAAGCTTTCCAGTGAACTCTGGCTCTCTGTAGTTTTATTGTGATTATTTATTTATTGTGATTAGTGATTTATTTTTGTTTTAAAGATTTATTTACTTATTGGAGAGAGATAGAGAGGGAGCGCACATGAGCAGGGGGGAGGGGCAGAGAGAGAGAGAGAGAATCTCAAGCAGACTCCATGCTAAGCACAGAGCCCAACATAGAGCTTGATCTCATGAACCTAAGATTGTGACCTGAGCTGAAGCCAAGAGTTGGACATTTAACCTACTGAACCACCCAGGCGCCCTGTGATTAGTGCTTTAAATGAAAAAAATATATATATATTTGACTTGGAGTATAATTTATCATATTTTTAAATGAAGTCTAAGAATAAAGAAAAACCTTTCTTTTGAGAGATAGTTCTCAAAGGATTCACAACTGAATATTTTTCTACCTCCAACTTGCAGATTATTTCTCGTGTGTTCTGGTTGCATTCTTGTGATGCTAATATGACCTATTCCAAAATGGAGAATGCAATGAAGGAATTCTGCAGCCTGCCTCTTCCAGAAAGATCCCGGCAGTCTTACCTCATTGGACTCACCCTCCTGCACTACTTGGACATTTACAACTTCACATACAAGGCAAGTTGCTATTGCTGAAATATTTTATATTCACAGTTTAGTACAAATACATTTGATTACATGAATATGCTCCCTGATACTGTAACGAATGAGATCCATGTATATAGCTTTTGGAATTATAGCTTTATTTTAGAGCTAAATAGGACCTTAGTGATCATATACTGCAAATTTGCACATTTTATAGATGAGGAAATTAATATTATTGCCTTATTAACTCTCAGTTTGTGTATCCAAGGCCATGTATTAAATTTAATATATATTATACTAAAGTATGAAATACAGATGTTGTGTGTGTGTGTATATACATATATATTTTTACAGTGAACAAGCATTAATTTGGTAGGATAATAAAGATTAGAGCAAAGCTTGTTGTTGTTGTTGTTGTTTTTAGTAGGGGCTTTTTTGGTGTTAAAAATTTGTGTGTGTATTTTTTCCATCAATTTAGAAAGAGACTACTATTACTTATGCAGTGTAACAAAACAAATGGGTTACTATCAGAGTTTAGAAAAGTCAGCAATGACTTCATCTTACAATAAGTACATGCTTCGTAAGTACTTGTTTAATACAAAACTGAAAGAAAAATATAAACATAGAAGAATTAAACATCTATTTCACCTATATCTATACTAGATCAAAAATATTTACATGTTACTGCAAACACTGAAAAAATGTTTTTCCCTTTAAAGTAGGAAGAACCAGAAGCAACATGGCTGACTTTTGTTGTTATAGCAAAGGGGGTGAAAATGTTTTAAGACTAGTTATCAATAATCCTATTCTGGGTCATCATTTTCTCACACCTGTATTTCTGCAATGGCCTCTTAATTGGCCTCCCTGCCTCCACACTTGCAACCTCCCCACCACCACCCTGCCCCACTATCCCTAAGCAGCCAGAGTGATCCTTTTAAAATTTAAGTCACATTATGCCAACCCTGTGCTCAATACCTTCTGGTGGCTCCCCAGTCTGTTCAAGTATATCCCTCGGTTCCTACAGGGACCCCATGATCTGCAAAACCCCTCCCATCTCTAAAATTCTCTTTCCTACTTGGTGACTCCTTGGGCCCATGACTGCTACATGGAACCACTCAATATTTCAAATGCCAAGAACAGTGCCAGGCCCAGAGAGGCACTCAGCAAATATCCATTAACTAGACAAATGGTTATTTTACATAAACTACAAACTAAAATGCATATGAAGTGAAATTATTAATTTTATTCATCTAAAATGTTAATCCTTATTTTATATTGCCTCTGCAGAGCAGATATCAAACCAAATATGTTTTGTTAAGTCTAGTAATTAATTATGTGCATTTGACAAGCAGAAGACCATTCCTACTTCTTTTAGGTATTGCAAAGAAAAATAATGAAAAATTTCTCATCACTAGTCAATTTATTTCACATCAGTGTAGGAATGCCCAGAATTTTGGCAGAACTGGAAGAAAAATTGTAATGTTGATTATAATTTAGAAAAAAATATAACTGAAATTAGTAGCTGTGTTAGTGAGCTGGCTGTGTCTTCACGGTATCTCTCCAACTGCATCTTGTGCTCATAATGGTGGTCTTTGACTTTCCTGGACATGTAAAGAACTTTCCCTCCTCATGGACCTCACACATCTTTCCCGCCCTGCTATAATCTTCCTCTGCTTATTCTTCCTCTGTTTTGCTCTCCATTGGGGTGCCATGTGGGAAAGATCTTTCTTGAATCCTAGCTAAACTCTCTCTACCTCCTCATATTCCCCAGTCTTGTTTATTGATTTGTTTGAAATCTGTTCCTTCTATTAGACCAAGGCTCCTTGAGTGGAGGGATGGTATCACTTGGTAGACCACCATATAACCATCTCCTCACCCATGCTGGGGACATAGCAGGCACTCAATTAACGTTTGGTGATAAAATGAATGAGAGGATGAAATTACTTTAAAATTTTAAAATAATTCCACTGTATCTTCATGCTGCAGAAAAGCGTTGTGGGATTATGATTAAACTTGAATTACATGAGCTTTTTGACAGAGCTTTTCTGATTTTTAAGGATCATATTATATGATTTTTGAGCAATAGCATATCCATGAAGAGTTATGTAATTGACATTTGCCCTTCTGACTTTTAAAATCATTTATTTTTGGCAACTTTATTGAGTTATGATTTATGTACCATAAAATCCACTTATTCGAAGTGTCCAATTCAATGATTCTTTTAGTAAATGTATGGAATTGTGCAACTATTACCACAATCTAATTTTTGAACATTTCCATCAATCCAGAAAAAAAAACCTCATGTCTCTGTGCAGCTACCTCTCATTCTGACCTCTAGCCCATGCGGCCCCTGATCTATTTTCTGTCTCTAGAGAGTTTCCTTTTTTAGACATTTTATATACACTTAATCATACAATACGTGGTCTTTGTGTTTGGCTTTTTTTTTACTCAGTATAATGTTTTTGAATTTCATGCATATTGCAAGATGTGTCAGTATTTCATATCTTTTTATTGCCAAACAGTATTCTAGTTAAAGGATGTACATTTCCTTTGTCCATTCATTTGGATCATTTCTACTTTTTTGGCTATTGTGAATGATGCCACTATGGACCTTCACATACAAATCTTGGTGTAGACATATGTTTTCATTTCGCTTGGATAAATACTTAGGAATATAATTGCTAGGTTGCATGTTAAACTTATGTTTAAGTATTTAACTTCCACATTTTTTTCCAAAGTGACTTACCTTTTAAGATTCTTACCAACAGTGTGTGCAGGTTCCAGTGTCTCCACATACATCATTTATTTTTATTCTGTTCCCGTTAGGTGTTTTTCCCTAGGGAAGATCAAAAGCCAGTAGAAAAGATGATAGAACTCTTCCTGAGGCTAAAAGAGGTTCTCAATCAGATGGCTTCCGGCACACATCCGCTGCTAGATAAAATGACATCCCTGAGACAAATGCATCTGCCCAGAAGTGTTCCATTAACACAGGTAGGAAAGTCACCCAGTAATGTGCTTATTAAGGGAAATTCCTCTTGTCACATTAACTTTTATTTGAGATTAGTTATAATACATTCAGCTACAAAGATAGTATGTTGGGAAAAAGCACCTGCAGGAAAACTCTTCTACTCTGGCAAAAGTTTTTGCCACTTAAGTCAGTGAAGTTCAGCATTCTTCATTTACATTTGGGATACATGTTTTAAAGGAATTATGGAAGCTATAAGGATACTCTAAGCATTACCAGGTTTTCTTCTGTATTGTTCTCAGCAGCATTTATAGCTTTCTAATGTTAATAAATGGTGGATTTTTATCTCATAGGCAATGTACAGAAGCAACCGGATGAACACACCCCAAGGATCATTTAGCACCATCTCCCAAGCATTGTGTTCCCAAGGAATCACCACTGAATATTTAATTGCCTTGCTGCCCTCTTCTCAAAGGCAAAAAGGCAACCACACCAAGGATTTTTTGACTTATAAATTAAGCAAAGAACAGATTGCTTCCAAATATGGAATTCCCACACATACCAGTGAGTATACTTCAAAATCAGCATAGTAACATCATCTCCTGACAATATTGTCTACTGTAGCTTAGCCTTTTATAATCAATGAAGTATCAGTTTTCCTCAACACTACTGCAGCACTTACCACACATCAAACTGATTCACGCTTTACAACAAGCCTAGAAGGTGTGCATCTCCATCTTACTAAGAGGAAATGAGGCACAAACAGACTAAGTAACTGGCCACAGTCACCCAACCTTAAAGTATCATAGCTGTGATCTGAACTCAGCGGTCTGCTGCAAAGTTTAGCCTCTTAACCACAACATTGAGAATTTGTCAGTCACAACATCACCGTCCTTGCTAGTAAATAATACAAAAACATGCTTTAAATCTGCTTAGGTCAATGTTTTTCTTAACTTTTGAGAATTAGAAAGTGGTATCACACATAGACAAGTTCTGAATGCAGCAGAACTATAAACGTGTAGTGGCACATCCACCCCATGATGCTTGGGATGCAAAATTCCATCAGCTGGGCTCTTCCACATAATATATGGATGTTTAGTATAGCAATTGGATTGACTCATTTATTCATCTTTTTACTCATTCAATATTCATGGGCCAACTCTTACGTATCTGGTACTACTATCCTAGTAGCAGATTTTTGTATATGTTTTTAAATTAAGCACTCGTGAGGTGGATCTGTTGGAAGATATTCTAAAATGTGATTTTCAACCTTTCTAACTCCTCTTGGCAAAATGCCATCCCTTATCATAGGCTTATTTATTGAGTTAAACTTTCACACCTCAAAAAAAGAGATTTGTTACTACACTTTCTTACTTTTTTTTCCTTTTTTAAAATTTTATTATGTTATGTTAATCACTATACATTACATCATTATTTTTTGATATAGTGTTCCATGATTCATTGTTTGCGTATAACACCCAGTGCTCCATGCAGTACATGCCCTCCTTAGTACCCATCACCAGGCTAACCCATCCCCCCACCGCCCTCCCCTCTAGAACCCTCAGTTTGTTTCTCAGAGCCCATAGTCAATCATGGTTGGTCTCCCCCTCCGATTTCACCCCCTTCATTTTTCACTTCCTGCTATCTTCTT